AATGAAATGTTAACTTAATAAATCCTATGCTTTTCAACTCTTCCTGGAGCCTTTCTGGGGTTAATGCAGGTCCCATATCCGGATAAAGGAGGTATGGTTGGCAACTCCATTTCGTAGAAAACTAACTCGCATTAAAAACGCTAAGAAAAAACAGTTCAAACCATTTTAACTCTGCTCTGGGAGTTAGAAGGTCTTCATTAAGAAAAGTTATTACGTCTCATAATGAAAGCCGAGTTCCTTCGGAAGTCACAAGACCGATGCCCATTCTGACAACAAGAGCCCTTCCGCGGTGTGGGAAACCGGGAAGTGACATCCGCCCTCATACTCGTAACAGCACATGAGACAAAATTAGTCACAATCAGACCCTTCCTACGCCTTGTAACATTTCTCTTCTCACATTCCTTTATCACCCCACGTAGCTAATTCAAAGAACTCGAGTTCACGAAACGTTATTTTTGGTCTCCTGAAATTCCGTTCGAAACTACATGTTGGAGCTTTTAATTTATGGACATTATGTCAAATAGGACAACAATCTTCCTTAGTTCGGACTTTAGAGTCTCGTGCCACCGATGTGTGCTTCGTGTCCGAAACATGCATACAGGATCCGAGCACAGTGATTAAATTGACTCAACCTTGTTCATATAAAGAACCAACACGGTTAACTGTCCGAATATCTGGAATTCCTACTGCTGCTTTTAGTGGTCTAGCTGATGTACGTAGAGGATTAATTTCTAAAGCAGAAGTAGCTCTGTTAGACTGCATCCCACCAGATAGTCGTTAATGCGCTGTCCGACTAAACGGGCCAGAAGGGACATGGAAATATAAGTAGAATCGCCGTTACAACTTCGTCGTCTCTGCCTACGTTTGCAGTGACTGCAGCTGAGACGAGGTAAAGGATGAGTTGTAAAGAAAGGTTTTAGACCTCCTCCAAAATATTGGTAGTGGTAGTAATAGTGGATGGTGACTCTAAGGCACAAGACTAAGCGTAACTGAAAAACACCTGGGTGGATTTTATAGTGTTGCGGCTGATCGAACAGACAATGGTGACCCCCTGCTACAACTATTTCTAGCAAACCAGTCAGTCAGTAACAACGTAGAACTTGGCATGTACGTACATAAGTTCAGGGTTCCATACCACATAAGCACAGATACGCAATTTTTAGTGGCAGGGAAAAGAAAAGTATTAGAAGTCATGGAGAATACTAGGGTTCATAGATATTCAGTGAGATAACTTCAGGAAGAGAATGATAGAGGTGATGAGGAATTCAGATTAGAATTTGAGAGAGTACTGAGAGTGGATGCACCTGCGTCATTGTGAAGAACTATGAGTCATGTTCAAGGTCTCTTACCATCGGTTATCAACGTCTCGCGGACCTCAACCAAGTAGTCTACATCTACTTACATGGCTCTAAATACATAACTGAATGATAGCACCTTATTATAAGCTCCGAAGCTCATAGTTACCATTTGAGTATTTTAATTACTGAATATTGTGAAACTGTACAAAAATAAATGACAAAAGGTAACTAAGAATACAAAAATGTTTAATAGCACGCTGATAATATGAACTATTTCAAGTGTAACAAATACTAATTTTAAGCATAACGAAAAACACCTTTTGACATAGCGGCCCCTATAATCGACCCAACTAGACCACACTGCTATCATCCATCGCTGGAGAGGCTTCATTGAAGACTATCGCTCATTTTGAAGCACATGTTGAGATTCAAGTCATGCTCAATTAGGTGCGTGTACTTGTCTGGATCTTACTGGACGTAGGAAAGACATAGCAAACAAACCCCTTGGAGGTCTACTTAACGAAAGAGAATGCGAGAGTTTATTTCAGGAGCGACTAGAAAAACAGTTAGGCAGCCATGTAGAAAGTGATGCTCACACTGAAGAAGCTTGAAATTTTATCCAACATTGTGGGTACGGCAGTAATATCTGCCAGTAAGGCAAACTGAAGGTTTGGTAATGATCGGTGGATTTCAGTAACATCTACTGAACTGATAGATGCTCGGAAACGCGTCCTGTCTGGGTCTGGACATGTTGAGGAGCCGAGTCAGCTTGGGCCTAGTTTGGTAAAGAGCCTAGGCAATGATCTCGAACATTGGTGGGTAGAAAAATCAAAAGAGATGGAAAAGGCAGTGGCAATGGGTAACAGTAGACAACTATCCAGACTTATCAAGAAACCCGGTATTAGAAGTCTGACTATTAGTGATATTATCTTGGACAAAGATGATGTGATTATTCGTTCTCAATCCAGGAGATTGGATCAATGTGCAGAGCAAATTAGGGATCAGTTTAACTGGCCTTCAGTCACACCTCAATTGCACACGATCTCCAGTCGTCCTGAATGGCAAATCAATGTACATCCCCCAAATCTTAATGTATTTGAGAAATCTACAGTAAATCTGAAGTGAGGAATAGCAGCAGGACGTGATAGATTAACCTCTGACATTTTCAAAGATGGTGGTCCAGTTTTAGCTGTTAGACTGACTGGGATCTTAGGCAGAATCTGGGATTCTGTTGGTCGGGAGGTTTTGTGGAAGTGTGTGTCATTGAAAAGTGTGCTAGATAAGCACATTAACCTTATTCAAGCTCTCCACTCGAACGTCACTGGTCGAGTTACAGCTTATGATGAACTGTCATCGGAATTCAAGTGATTTCTGTCAGGGATGTCCACTTTCTTCATTCTTGTTTAACTTTGTCGCAGATATGCTTTCAGAGTTAACATCATCATCGTGTCACCTTTCAGGAGCGGACCTTCTACAAGGAAATTCACTCGTGTGCTTAGTTATATTTGGTGAGGATGCTGACAAAATGCAAAATCACTTGTCTGGGGAGTTTCATCAGTGCTGATCGCCTGGTGTCTGACGAAATCTCAGCACCGATACAGAAAGCTTGACTGGTTGTGTCCACTTGCGTCACTTATCGCGTGGAGGAGATTTCTGTTTGCTAACCAAAAAATGAGTCTACTGCGCAGCAGTTCGCTCCTTCCTACTTCACGGGTGTAAAATATGGTCATTATGAAGAGAGGATATTCGTAGGTTACTGGTATTCTATTGATGTCTTCAAAGCGTTGCTCTTATATCCTTGGGTTAAGAGAGGGATACTAGGTAAGGATGGCAGATCAATGAATGAAGTGATGAATCTTCATCAGTTGAGGTGTGCGGGACTTGTGTTATGAATGTCGAAGGACCGACTGCCTCAACGTCACTGGCAAGTGGACTGGGCCATGTAATTTGTGTAGACTACCTGGTTCGGGTCAGCGATACGATAGTACTCAATGGTTAGAGACCTTGAATGTCATGGCTTCAGACCGTTTACAATGGTTCAAATGCATCTAATCTTTGTGCTTTCCCAAATGCTGAATTTCTGGATTCCTCATCACCCCTGTCTTTCCCCCATTAAATTAATTTCACAGGCTTATTCTTTTTGATAAATATCTTCGAACCCTAATCTTCTGCATTACCGTTAACACTTATACCATCTCTACTATTATGAGATTTTAATTCACAATTGAGTCTCTGTGTTTATGCGATATGGAAACCTGAACTGATGTATGTACGTAAGAAGTTCTGAGTTGTATCTGACAGATTAATATATCACCTAATGTTGCTTTTTTATATTACCGCTGACATATTAAGGCTGTCACGTGAGTTAACCATGTATCTAATTAAATGTTAGTAATGTCTGTGTAACCCAAAACTTTGTAATGAATTCTATCAGTTTACCTCACGCATTTGAACAATTTGATCTAAAATTCTGCTTATAGACTCTTTGACGCCAACTTCAGTCGGTTCACATGGTTTATCGATTGTTGATAAAGATGCAGAAAGTGATGTTCTGAAATAGAAAAATAGTGTAATGTGAACATAGAAACTCTCTTGATATGTTAGTTTTTTCATGTTAATTAGATAAATATAAGTTTATTTTTAAGGTTGGTCCATTAGGACCTATCACTTCCCCTCATTTTCGACTACCTAGTCTCCTGAACCTAATTTATAGATGGAGAACGTGTATTAATTTGCCATCCAACTTAGTTGAGAATAAATGGTGACTTTGAAAGTCAGCAGAACTGTTCCTTAATGTTTTATCCATCTATCTAATCTGAATTAAGAACGAATAATAATTCCTTCGTTTTTCTTAATAGTTTGATTAACACCACTCTTTTTATTGACTATCTCTATGATCAGTCGATTGGGTTGTCTTGCGTTAACTTTCGGCACTCACTCTTCCATATATTTTGCTTTAGTCTCAGCTGTCGTTTCCATTCGTCATTTTCTGAGCCACCCGGGATGAGTTTTCGAGTCACTGTCATTTCCGAACAATTTGATTCAAGTTGTTGGTAGATATGATTGCTGTACTTACAGATGCTTGTACATCTAGCTATGTTTCTTTAATATGAATTGTTTGTTAGAGAATAACTAGACCTCTAGCTTGTTTTCTTTCTTTAATACATCCTTAATCTTTCCATGTTCAAAATGATATCTAAGGGGTATTTCTTCTGTGAAAGTTAACTGAACAAATATCACTTTCAATCTACATTCCATTTTGGGGACTGATGTTCTTTCTTAAACGTTATATTTTATGTTTTGTAATTGCGATTGCCATACGCACTTCAGTTTTGTCTTAGATGATATTCTGCGTTTTAGTGCAAGTCCTGGTGGTGATGTTGATGTGCAATTAAAACTCCAGCAATTCATGCTAATGTGGGCCATCTTTGACTGGTCCTTCAAACGCCAGTTTTATAAGAGATCACGAAGAGCAGTTCAGCTTCATGCCACAAAGACGGAATCTTATGGGATGAAAATATTTGGGGACTCTTAGTGCTTGGTCATCGTTTGGTTCAAAAGGATCACTTACACTTGCTAGTAGTAACATGTCAACTACACTGATGTCCAAGAGTTCGTATTTGGCCATGCTGACAGTAATTCACTTGATGCCTTCATTTTAAAATAACAATGAATACCATCTCATCGATTTCTATACCCCTTAGTGTATGCTGACATTGAAACTGGATGAAAACGGGAGTTTATAATCTAGTGCTTCTGTCTATTGTAGGTCAATGAAAAATTCGTGGCTGGAATCCTAGAGTTGTTGAAACTTAGTAGCTTCAGAAGTTATTGACACATTATTTCAACATCAATTAAAACATCCTCATAGCTCGATACTATATGTTGAAACTTTGAACTCAATTAAATAAAAAAATTGTTGGCTATCAAGCAAACTAAATTCTCCTACACATAATTGAAAGTAAAATTATTCATGCTAAATTTCCAAAAATATCTTCATCTAATATCATGTCGCTACCCAGTCAGTCAGTCAGTCAGATGCAACGTAGAACTTTGTACATAAGTACATCAGTTCGTGTTGCCATACCACATCAGCACAGAGAAGTAGTCGTCAATTCAAATCCAATAGTAGAAGAGGTAGTAAGGGAATTAGAAGTAATCGGAGAGGTTAGGATTAGAAGATACTATTCAAGAAGTATGATTCAGTGAGAAAAGTTTAGAGAGTCGAAACTAGAGGGGTTGAACAATCCAGAAGATTAGGATTTGAGAGAACACAAAGAATAAATGCACCGGCGCCATTGCGAACGATTTTGAGCCATGTCATTCAAGGTACCTAACCATCGATCATTATCATCTCGCGGACCCCAACCAGGTAGTCGACAATTACCGACATGGCTCAGTCCACTCGTCAATGACTTCATGCATTTCTGCCATGTTTTGGTCTGGCCGCTCCTAACTTTTTTCCAACCTGTTCCTACACTACAAAACAAAGCTCGATGAGGCAGTCGGTGGTTAGCCACACATAACACATGTCCCAACCACCTCAACTGGTGAAGTTTCAATACTTCATCTATTGATCTGCCATTCTTACCTAGCACCCGTTTCCTAATAACAGCGTTGCTCACTCGGGTGTCCCACGATATACGAGCAATGCTTCGAAGACACCTATGTCAATACCAGTAACAATATTGTATTAATCTTACTTAATTTAACTTACAACAAAGCTTTCATTTTTGTACTTTCCATTTGAAGTTTGAATGCAGTTTGTTTATTTCTTTCTTCAACTGACTGTTTATTATTTTGTAAATTGTCTACTTGATTACGTAGATCTTTAATAATAGTTTCTTTTGCTTGTGACATGTTTTGCAGTAATGTTAATTGTGAAGTTAAATCTGTATTTTTGGCCTCAAGTAGATTTACTTTCTGTTATAAAAGAAGTGTAAAATTATTGCTTTTCTGAAGTAAGAATGAAACATCAGTATTTAAGTTAAGGTTATATTTAAGTGAATTTTTTTGTGAGCTCAACAAAACTAATCAGACAATGAACAACTTCTAATATTAAAACTGTTGAGACCTCAGTATGGTCAAAACTTTCATTCATATTAAATGCAGTGTGATCACTAAGTGTGGTAAATAAGAGCGAAAAAGCCTTGTGCATAACAATGTCAAACTATTAACGATTATCTTTCATGGGGATTATGGTTATTTTTTTATGTTTGTCAACATTGATTGCTAAGATACACTTGAGAATTTGTGGAGATTAGTGACCAGTGAAGGATGTTTAATCTCTCATTCTCAAGTTTTTTAAATGGGGAAGTTAGTTCGAATTAACCTGAAGAACAATAATGGATTTCAATCACTTAAATAGTAAAGAAACAACAGCTTTCTCAAACTTCTGAGTTACCATTTTTACCAAAGAATCCACTTATTGACACGAATTTTTCCGTGTTATATTTGATTTAACTCACTAACTGTATCCGCTAACTATTTTTACTTATGGGCTTTCATGAAATATTTAAAACTTATCATGAATCTGATTGTCATTAAATGCACAGAGTATCACCATGGTGGTTCATATACTTTACTTCTCCTTTGTTCCTCAAAAGAAAACGAGAGAGAACAGTCATAGTATTCGTACAGCAGATATACCAGACCATGAAAATATAGTCATATAGACGAGATTAGTTGTAAACATATTAATGGGTAAATATGACTGACAACCTATGACATTTTTAAAGACTTTTTATACCGATTAAGTGCTTATAAAATAAAAATTCAGTTGCCATACTTTATTTTCTATTCTGAGAGTTGTCTACTATAATGAAATATATGGCATTAAGTAAAGTTAGCGTAACTGTTATTAACTGAACATAATAAATTTCCTGAAAAAAATGTAGATTTATTTTAAGTAAATTATTTTAGGTAAAATTTTTCCAGTTTTGTTTCACCTGGAAAGATCCATTTGCCAGAATAATATAATTCCCTAGATCTACTAATCTCACTTATAACAAGAATCATTTTCTACGGATTTACCCCGTAAGATTTCTCTGTTCTGTTAGGTATTAATTAGAAATCGGATATCTTCCTCAGTTTCCAAAATACGCAGACTGTAATTGCTTATGAAGCGAGAAATTAGACATAATAAAATTCAGTAATTCTAATGGCTTTTGGTTGTCCCAGAACTGTTATCTGATTGGACGATTTTTCATCAAAATTCAATTTCTGACAACTAAAATTTGCTTTTATATTCTACAACAGCGTAATTAGTAATATATAGTTTGAGTTATCTCATTCGTGTTAATTTCAATTTTGTTTATCTTTTACAGTTCAAGGTAATTTCGAAATATCTATCTTCGTAAAATATGTGGAATTTACAATAATTTATCAAATGATAAAATTTGTTAGAAAACACTACATAAGTTGGTATTGATTAAGGTATCTTAATACTAAAAATCCAAATACATTACTTGCAAAACACTCATCTAATAGTGAAATCAAATTTATCGTTAATTGTGTTCAGGAAATTTCAATGAAAGCAAATCATTTTTACAAAACTTAAAGAGATGTTTCTAAGCTTAGAACGAATCCCCATTTTGCATTCATTGGTGGTTATTGTTTTAAAATTTTCATCGTTATCAAACATTAGATAATTGAAAATAGTTAGCTAGCTTACTTCAAGAAGTATTTTCCTTTCTTGTATAGCTTCTTCACTTCTTTTGGTTATTTCATCTGTACTTCGTTTTATGGAATTCAATTCTGTAATGGTTCTATTCAAATTAGATGTATTTTGTGTACATTTCAATTCAAGTAGCGCTGCTTCATCTAAACGCTGTGTAACCTTAACGTTTGGAAAAAAAACTTGTAATGAAAATTTTCTTTAGTTGAATAGTGAAACAAAGAGATACATTTGACTTAATATTTATCAAAAATGAATTAAATATTATGTTTTCTATGACATTAATCACATATTCCTTGAAATGTTTCCTAAAATTGAGGATATAATTTTAATGATTAAAATGACCTAATGTTTTATATATTCTACTGTGATGCTAGTTCACTGATTAACTTATGAGTTGGAATAGAGTGTAGTACGCATTGTTTACAGCCATTAAACAAAAGTGAAGCATTTTGTTACAGTGCTTGAATGACTACCTATTCTTATTGAACGAGCATAACTTGAATAGTTTCAAACTTTTGTCTATATAATTCAAAGAAACTAGAGTTAAAATTGTTTTTAAACTGTGATTACGTGTTATAACTACTACTTTGTATTATTTTCAAAGATGCTATTTTTTGTTCTGTTCTTTTGAATATGACAAGTGGCTTTAACTCAAAGATCACTGAAGGTTTTCTTCAGATACTCCATTCTGGATTAATGTTAATATTTTTTCGGGACACATTATTTCCATATTTGTCACCTAATCCCGATTACTTCTAAATGTCTAGTTAATATACTAGTCTCATAGATGCAAACAACCTATCAATAATTTATGAAAACAGCTCTTACTTTCTCAATAACATTAAGGAAGTCTGCATTTGCTTCAGATAATCCAATTCGACGTCCAAGTTCTAAACGAAATTTATTGTATTCATCAATTCTTTTCTGAAGATTCTTTTGTTCCGAATTTTGACTTTCTGTTAGATTTCTGGTTAATAAAACGAACATTTTAACACATTTAAACGCAATACACAGACTGAAATTCAAATTAGCTTCATAATCAAACAATAATATGACCAGTTCGGTCACTTTAAACTGCATTGACTAAGTTTTTAAGCTGAATCTTGACCAATATTCAACACTCGTGTTTATTTAAAGACACGAAGTTGCTCAAACACTCAGAAATCGATCGATTTTTATGGTTTCAGGGAAATTCAACAATCTCCACAACCCTATTATGACATTTATTATATATTCATCAGTGGTTAGCTTCGTAAGGGAATTCTCAGAATTCTGATTAAGAGCTATGACCTGTGGAGTGAGGCAGTCACTTATCGACGGAAATAGATGAAGTCACGAAGTAGATATAAACACCCTTGAATTTCGACTCAGTGATCAAGAGGTTAAGCGTTAGTATGGCAGGCTGAAGACCCTGGGTTCGATTCTCACTTTTGTGATCACTGATGCGCACTGCTGATGAGTATCGTACTTGGATGAAATGGCCATGCAGCGCTTAATGAGGTTCTAAACCTGATCGACTTACAGATGCGATCAAATGTTTAATATTGATAGTGGTCAATTTTAACCTAATTAGTTATAATGGCGTCAATTTTAAATATCATTCTCATATTATACTTAGGCCATTAGAACTTCCAACACAAGCATATGGAAATATGTAGTTCATTTTTTACCTAAGCTCTAGTTTACAATATATATGCCAAGTCTGAAACATTATCTTCAACTTTATTGGACTTTGATATCTATAATCCAACAACCATGGGCTTGGTTTTCTATTACTAACACTGAATTTTGGAATATTAATGCATCATAAATATGTCAGCCTATCAAATATTACTGTCTATTAGGACCACTTACCTTAAACGTGTTTCCAAATGAATAACATTGTCTTGAGATTCTCTTGCTACTTTTTGTAAGCCAACTACAGCTGCTTGACTCCGATCTTTTAGTAATTCATAAGCATGTAAGTCATTTTCTAATTTTTTAATATTCTCTTGATATTGTTTAAGTTTTTCATTAGCATTCTTTAAAGCAGCTTCTGTTAATTCTAAGTGATGTTTAGCTAGCCGAGCTTCTTCACGATATTTCTCTTTTTCATATTCTATTTGATGATACTTTATTTTTTAGACATGAGGAATAAAATAAAAGGGAGAAAGTGTATTGACAACCAAGTAAAAGCAATGTTTAATACGGTCTAAGTAGCAATGAAAGAAAACTGGATCTGAGCAAACTGTCTCAGAAAAATAAATACAGGACGTAACCTCATAAAATGTCTGAATCCGACAAATACTAAATTTTTAACAGTATAATGAGCCGTAACCACCCTTTGAATGTTTAATGCCAAAACTGAATATTGATTCGAGGACCCGAAACTTCCTATAAGCATCAAGGCGATTTATCATACTGACACTCGTCACTGTACTTCATGTGAGTGCTACAGTAACAAACTTTATCATATTATTTTTACTCATGGCAGTAGAAGCCTGTTTTCAATTTAAAAGATCTATTGGCATTTTTTAACGTTTCTCATTTCATATTAGCAAAAGCTTTTAATGTACTTCTAACTTTCGTCAATTATAAAGTTGTTTTCTAGAACAACAGTTTATAGTTCTGTGACCTGTATCTATTTTTATTGAGGTAATATGAAATCTACTCCTATCTATACTATTCGAATTCTATCAAGTACTTTATCAGTATGAATGCCAGTACAGCCCCTTGACTTACGGTTTTCAAGCCTAAAGTACTTGTTATCACATATAATTATTCATTCCTTGTACTGTATCTGTTTAAACGAATATGTGTGCTTCTCAATATGAGTACATCTGTCTGTCTATCTGTTTGCTCGGAGATATAAATGGAGTCATACCTAACTCAATAATTCTTGCACAGGCCAATTTCTATACCCCGTACGTTTCGAATTACTGATTTATCTACTTACAAAAGTGTTTGAAATGTATGAACTCCAAATACTATTGATATCTAACTCATTATAAAGTTTTAAGAAGATACTAACCCTGACAATATAAACAAAATCAACTCAAGATAGATATGTACTCAGGAATTAATAAATTGTGGAGTCAGATGGACCACGGAGATATTAAAAAAAGAGGCAAACTTTTTATTGAATAAATAAATTTTCTTGCCAGACAAATCATGACTTACACACCTTAGATTCTACTTCTTGACTTACCTAAAGTCTCATTTACTCAGAATTTATGACCTATTTGACATGCCATACAATAGAATCATCTACAGTACGTAATTTCTCAACTTACTGATGATTAAAATACATAATATACCACTTTTTTCGAAATATTTAAATTAAGTAGTGGTTAGATGCGAAAAATAAATATCAGTCAGTCACTAATGGAATTTTTTAGTTTGATGAGCATACATCTAGAATTAAACATTCGTATAAAAATGTGTTTGATTCTAGGAGATTTTTTTAGATAAAATACATTAGTATACTCCGGTATCATCTGACAAATATATGAATGAACTTTTCTAGGAGGCCAGGCAGAAAAAAATGCTTTTCGTATTTCATAGTAAAACTCACCTTGTTTTCATAATTTTCAGCTGCACATTTGGCCGCTGCTAGATCTTTTAATGAACTTTCTTCCATTCGACCAAATATTACTGAAAAATTATTGAAAAAAACCCGTGTTTTTCACCCCTATAAATCACATTTTGACACACATAAAGTTACAAAACTCCCAATATTTAACAAACTTTTAATCGCATGTATGCATTGAACTGAAAAATGGGGAAATTCGACAAATCACTGATTATTTTGATGAAGTTAAGCCAAGACAACAGAAAATTTTAGTTTTTAACTAAATTATCTAACGGTTAGTGGGAAAACTATAGCCTGTTTTGCTTGAGGTAGAATGAAAAAATTTTCAGATTACTTGGACATCATTTTATTCTCGTTTCTGGTTTAAGATGATCATCACACTACATGAACTGGAAAGAAAATTTTGCATATTAAATGTTTTGTCAATAAAAGCTGGCTTGTGATTTTTATAGACCCGTTTTAGAATGCTCAAGATTCCCATTGTGAATGTTGGAAAAAACGCAATTAAGCAAAGAACTTTGTTCTCTCATATGTGTCGCTCTAATACCACTTAACCTGTTAAACTGTGTTCTATGTCTGGCTAATATTGCTTTTTCGTATAAAGTAACGAGTCTAACATAGAAGAAACCAATCTTCTGTCACGTATGAAATGTCTATAATGCATTCTGCTTTTTACTTTCTTCTTGATGGAGAGTGAGTTCAAAATATATCACGGAAACACTGTACACATACCACCTTAAGTAAGCGCTTAGCCTTGAGGTCTTTTCTTAATTTAATCCCTATTTAGTGCTTGAAGCCCTTTGTGCTTTGATCGAAAAATCCTTCGATTTCGTTCCCTATTCCTCTGTAAATATTCTGACATTGGTTGCTTTCCATTTAGATTGTAGATACAGTATCTTTGAGAAACCGAGACAAAACAAAAGATAGGAGAGGAAAGACTCGTAATCTGGCGAGTCATCCATTACCGGTTACGAATTTTTAGAAATGAGAATGAACAGACTTCAAGAGGCATATATGACTTTACAAAATTTATAGACGTTTGACATTTCATCAGTCGAAAAATTGGATTTTAAACATCGCATTAAAAGTGGGATCTCTTTCCTTATATGCCACTTTTACTTACAGACGTAATAAACGACTATATTTTTGCAAAATTACAGAAAACACAATCTTTAACTGAACGTATTTTATAGTAGTCGAAATAATTTTGCTAATAAAGCTTTAGATAGAATATGTGTACTTCGAGCACTTTCTTTATTTAACTTAAAAAATGGTATCCGACGTTTGTCTATATCTCAATGCACATATGACATATTTGTATTTTATAGATTCATATCATCTACGGCTAAACGCAGTATCTGTCATTTTATTGAGTTAAAATGCGGAAAAGTACAGAATAAACATGCATACTCTTCTTGATGGAGAAAGGTTCTTCATAAAACATATAAGATCATACATGTAATAACCTAAAAAGATTTGCTATATCCTGTGGTTATTTTTTCAAAGGTTTTGGACTTCAGGGCTGATAATTACTGAGTACGGGGTAAGTACTTTTGTTTAAAACTACTTTAATACATTTCCAACGCATATTACTATTTGTTCATTTACTAGCCCGTTTGAACTTCCTCAGACGCTCTCCAAATCAACTTGATGCGTACAAACAAATTATGATTCACATGTATTGTTTGGAACTGAACTTGCTTATCAAGCAACTACAAAACGTTTTTCCTCCGAATCTAACTAAATCTTCGATAACTTGTTTTCTTTTCTTAATTAATATTTAGTTATCTCAAAGTGTAATATGCCATTCTAGTCAGACGTTGTCATGCAACTTAGCAGTCGTTTCATTAGACAAATTATCAAGTTTAAGGAGGTAGTCAAAAAAATGATGACGGCAAAGAATGACAGAAGTACAGGTTGAAAACAGATGTATCAGTGACATTAATAAGTCGGGTCAGTGAAATATTTCTGAGCGCTAGCCAAATAACCCAATAGCTTATCGATTTTCGTCACTGCCAAGAACTAACAGCGTTTAACAGTAATTTGCAGCTGTTCAGTTTGGTTCTTATATTAAGTGTAGATACTATCCTATTCTGTTAGTTGTTTAAGGCATTTATTCTAGCCATTATTCGGGTTATTTCTATGCCAAAATCCAGGACAGTTACACCAGCGAGCTGTGACTTTGACATACCTCAGTAGACTAACAATTATTGAAATAAGTTACCTACGTAAGCGATATCCGACCACAAGCACAGTAGGCTATGAAGAAGAGATTAGTTCCTTAGTTCCGCAACAATCCTTTTCATGTGACTACAAAATTGTCCGTCTACGTTTGACTCAGTTGCTACCAGGGAGTTTTGGGGCATTTCATAAATACTTAATAAGCTGCAAGTTATGGTAAGATACATACGATGTCCTGGCTATTGGAGGAGTGTCATTACAAGCAGACCAGTGAATTCCCAAAGCTGGTGGAATTTTATGTTTCATGTTATGTAGGAAAGGATACTTCCTTGCTTCAGTCGTATAAGATACTAGCATTTGTAAAATATAATAAATCCAAACAAAGTAAATCAGATCTCAGTATGCCAATGTAAATAAGACCAGATATATTTTCATGAAGTTGTTCTGCACTTGTCGTTCTAGGGATCTGTTTGCATGTAGTATAAAGCACTTTTAGGCATTGCTAGGTCTATTTGGTAATGCTTGAGTGCTGCATTTGAGAGCATAATTTTTACTGAAATTCTCACTTCGGCTATAACTTTAATTTTGCTTAACCTCGTACTACATCAGGTCGTCATCACCAGTATAGCAATTCATACGATATACTTCTTCGCGGGAGAACAAATATTACTTCATGTTAAGCTGTAATTACTCTTTCAGTCCGCTTTTAACTCGCAAAGTGTAGGTTCATACGCGTTACTAACGAATTCAATTCCACAGTGCAATTTAACTGTTCCAGAGTCAGAGACACGTTCCGCATCTTAATTGCTAAATTCGACATCTGCACTGGATCGTTATAATCAGCATTCCCAAATCTAAACAAGTCTTCCAAGGTCTCACGAGTAATTACGTGCGATTGTCCGAAAAGCTGTTTTAAAATAGCCTTAGCCCATTTATATCCTGCGCGAGGTTCCATTATAAGACATCCCTCTATGGCATCTCTTGCCTTTCCCTTACAGTAATGGATTAAATATAATAGTCGCAGATTGTTAACAATAACTCTAGGTTCTATAAACGTCTCAAATTGCTTAACGAACCTAAAGTAATCACGGTGTCGGCCGTCAAAGAAAATGAGTTCAACCTTTGGTATTTCTAAGCTACCTACCGGTGTCCTAGACATCAAATCTTTCCGAGATATCTCAAAGTTCTCGTCCAAACTTCGTTCTTTAGTACCCTCCAATGATGACTTACAACAATAAGTACTAAGCATAATATCATCCTTATTAGGATGCTTTAAACATGAAGTATCGTACAGTACTTGCCTTGCATTCCGCGATTCTTCATGGACTTCATCCCTCTTCGTGTTTGACTTGTTACGAGAACTCATTATAGCATTTGAAATTCAAGGGAAAAGAAACAACAAAGACAAAATATTAAATTTCACCGGTTCCGTGTCTTCAGTTATTGTCGACAATGAGATATCCAAAGTATTTTTCTCCAAATATCGTTAAAAACCAATTGACAGTAAAATATTCAAAAGATCCTCTTCCAAATATTGTTTCGAACTGTTAAGTTGTAATTACTCTTTCAGTCCGCTTTTAACTCGCAAAGTGTAGGTTCATACGCGTCCCACCCAGTCCAGGACCAAAAACGATAATTCTGGGAGAAAACGGTTCTGTATTTAATTAAAAAGAGAAATACAGACAATTACCAAAACAACATTACACCCTCGATTTTCCAATTACTACAATAGGTTCCGTTGCTGGAAGAATAAGTGCTTCCATTCCGTTATTGCTAGAGTATCAAATCCAAATATGTCTGTAGCCATATTAAATATCAAATTTGAACAACATTTTTTATAGTTCAGAAGGAAACATAAAAACTTCAATATATGTAAAGATATAGAAATAATAACAAGATACAAATGATTAAATCTCAAATTGGAATCAATTAGAGTACCAAAATATCAACAGAAAGAGTCAGTCATATCATAACACAAATATATGTACATGGAGGGATTTTCCAAAATCAAAACCTTCAAAATGGATTCTACACTTCACGGATTCAGAGAATCGAGAAGTAAACAGATTCCAGAGGAAGAAGTATATTTGATACTGGCCTCGTGAAATCGAAACAATATCGAGGCAGGAGGTCGTATAAGCTGCTAACGTGCACGCAGGAGACGTGCGAAGAGGGGATCGGAGTAACACATTTGGCGAGCGAGAGATAGTCTTTTTGTACAGATAAACAAGAGGTGTACAGTATAACAATTATGGTCAGAATTAAGTGCAATAATAAATGTTTCAGCAGTTGTGTTTTCTTTGTAGAAGTAAACCACTACAAGCTAATGCGAATTATTTATTTTGAGGATTTTCGGCCTCTGTATGCCAAATTTTTGCGTTCAGTATAATTTCCGACTCATTTTGCTTGGATCTAACTAGAGCTCAGCAACCAGTCACACACCTAGGTACCACATCATTTTCTAATGTCGTCCTAATTCATCTGTAAAAAAAGACCTCATGAATCTACAGAAAGAAGATGCAGTATCCACGGATGTTGAACATTCAGATCATACAAGCTGCACTGAAGTAGAAGATAGCCTTATAAGTTTCTTTCATCTAAGCATCGTCTATCAAGTCGATTTTAAATTTTACGTCAAGTTAAGTGTTCATATTTGAACTCCCTGAATATCCTGTATTATGCAAACTTTCTCTTGTCACCACGAAGAGTTCAAAGTAATCCACCTCGTTTGATGAGAATAGGTAGTGAACATTCTCTATTGTGACAGTAGGTTATGGTGTTGTTGTCAGTGGAATCGGTGGAGTACTGTTTTTTCTTCTGAGACAAACACAGTTACTTATTTGTATTCTCATGACTTTACCACCTCT